ATTGTATTTGGCATCACTTCAGCAATGGCTACCTTAATGCTTTGACACTGATCAGTTATGATCGCATCTGGATGAACATTTCCCATGGCATCAAGCCAAGTTCTAAAAACTAATTTGTAACTATTGATATCTTCATGAGACATGAGAGCACATCCTAGTAAGATGGACTGTCTATGGTGATTGATGCCAACAAATGAAGCACATGGCATATTATATCGATTTACAAGGTACGTTGTATCAAAGCATATCGCGTCATGGAATTGCTCATACGCTGCCTTACAGTGTGAATGCACCCATATCACATTTCGCAGCCTACCAATATTATCAACGTCGATTGAATAGAAAAACTCTCTATCCTTTACCTGGATTTCACGAAAAAAGTTGAGCAGCGACTGTGTGTCCCCTTCTTGCATTTCAAAATTGCTACTCTTCAAAATATAATTTCTACAATCCTTTGGAGTGCAACCCAAATTTTGCGGTCCACCACGTTGAACCTCAGCAAGTCTAATATTCTTGGAGGGTCTAATGCCAGATCGATCGTGAGCTACAAGATCCCTCTTCAAAGAATCACAAACAGACCTATGTCCAGCCATCAGGCGCAATACGGATTGGAGCAATTCATGATTGTGATTGTGAACGACCTTAGAGACGCGCCAACAACCAGAATCATCCAAAACAGCAGCTAGCCTAGCTTTACAATTGTTACTCTTGGTGGTAAACTTGATTTTGCGAATCCTAGTCCTATCACGACAGTAGGTTATATACCTGGCAGTGTCACCACCCTTCTTGTTGGAATTTCTTTTGATGACGGAGAATCCTCTCAGTCGTGCATGTTCTTTGTAGAATGCAAACAAAGTATCTTTATCTCTAAATCGCATTCCAGAGATTGGACCTACAACCACATCCTCTTCAGTGAATTCATTCTCCATTTCCCGATCAACACATAACTCTAACTCATTTCCTAAAACCTTCTCCTCATCATCGTTAGCTTCTCCGTGATATTCTCCATCGGCTTCTTCATCATCATCATCTAAGTGCACAATAGCATCGGCTTATTTATCATCATCATCTAAGTGCACAACATTGTTGAAACTGCCGCGAGAATCAACATCGACCCATTCGTATTCATTCAACAAACTATCGTCCGATGTCATCCCTAAAGATCTGTACAACTCTTCCCTAACTCGATCAAACCTATTATCTTGGTTTATATTCATGGTTGTTGTATTTGTGTTATGTTTATTTGGATTCATATTTTGTTGCACCGCCAAATTTTTTTGGTTTGAATCCATTTTTAGAGAAGGAGAAAGTGTCAGCTGGTTTAGGGATAGGCAAGGAGGAAAGTGTCTGCTGGTTTAGGGTTTGGTAAGGAGGAAATATACAAAATCGTATACCGTATTTATTTTTAAGAAAATACAATAATTTGTTAAAAATTAAAAAACGTATAATTTGTATAAAATACACATAAATACAAGGGAAATACACAAGACTCTTCATCTTCCAACATTTAATTTTTGCATACTTCAAGACTTGGAATTTAATTTTGGGTTTTGGAGAGAAAAATGTAGGCTAATTAGTTAGAGGGTCATTTATGTATTTTCACTGGTGTGGCCAAAGTTGGGTCACGCCAGTGTGGTCGTTTAGCATTTCTCTTTATAAAATGACAGAAAGGATTGCAAAGGATAGGGTGGAAGATAAAGGAGCAACAGTTAAAGCTAAGACGTGAAATTTTTTCAATTAACGTGTGTGTAGTTATATCATTCAATAGAATTCCCAGTAAATCACATTCATGTACCTATAAAGTATTTAATATGAGGTTACTTTTTAATGGCGAAGGTCAAAGGGCTTCTATGTTTGTGTTTATTTTAATTAAACTTTTTAAATTAATTTTGTGAGAATGTGTATTGACGTTTTTAGACAAAAAATATTTAAAGGTATATTATGTTGAAGGGTATTATATCACTCAGCTTTATAGAGTTATTTTAGTCTTTCAATTTCTAGTTTGAGTCTTCATACTTATAATACAGTACTAGTTTCTGGACACGTGCATCGTACGTGTATCCATATTGTTAAATACAAACACGATAAAAGTTAAAATATGTATATATTTTATAAAATAGATTTTGTGGAAAAAAATAAAAGCTCAAACATGGGAAGGCCTCTTCGATCTCCCAAGAATGATATATTGTTTCTTCGTAAATCTTATTTCTTGTAAATTATATTCTTGCATTTTAATTTTCAAAGCATATATTTATGTGGAATAATAAAGTTATGCATATGTCCAAAACACCAATTACCTAATACTCTATTTAATGCATGTTATTCGAAATTATTCCATTTTTCAAAGATGTAAACTTGCTTTCTTATACCATACATTCTACATTGATCCATATTACATTAATACAAACTAAAAGCCTAGTCCAATTAGCAAAGAAAATTTACAGGTTGACTTCTCTGAGTTATTGTGAATCTTGGCACTCATACAACCATACCTCATATCATAGGCTGAGCTCGTAGAAAATTTAAACTAAAATTCAAGTATAGTAGTACTTTTTCCTTGTGCTCTCTCCTCCTCCAACTGATTTATTTTTTATTTTTTGGGAGGTAAAGAAAAGTTGGAGGAGGATAGAAACTGTAGAGAAAAGTATATATCTACAAACTCCAACTATTTCTATTCAAAATTTATACCGAATTTTATAAATAAAAGCAACCTCGTGTTGGCTTTTCTTACTAAAGTAAATTCATTTTTTCTACCCCATTGTATACTAAAGAACAATACACTTCACAAGTCTTCAGCCATGATTGATAATTTACGGGAAAAAGAAGGAACCTATTTACTTATAATTAGCCACCAATGAAATTTGGCAAGTATAAATTATACTTACAAAAGAAAGACTGAATCATAAAAAAGGAAGTACATATAAATGCAAAGATATCAATAAGCTCCTTGAAAGAAAAATAGTAAAGCTATTGAACCTTGAGGAGGAAAAGAAAAGAGAATAAGAAATACTAACCTTTGATTTGTTCGACACATATTACACAGGCATCTGGTTTACTTCATTCGCCGTTAACATCACTTGCTTCTTCCCCATTTTTTCCATAAAAATTTTGAGCTAAAGAAAAACACAAGAAATTTCAAAAGAAAAATTAAACCCATTGAGAATTGAGATATTTTGCATTATACACCTACATGTATATGGTAACTGTTATAAATGAAACATCATAGATTTTCTCCGCACAACTTTGAAAAAGTGCAAGTTGTGACTTTTATGATAACAACAACTGTTTTTTCAAAGTCTTCTTCTATAAATATCCTAAAGTATTGTTGTTCTTCAATCAGCCCCGGCGACGTTTGAATATTTTATGTGTGTTTGAGAGAGATTATTATCTATTTGTGAATATTTCTCAGAATTGTAAGAGTCAACAAATATAATCGTTCCCCATTCATTTGTATTCAATGGTTTGGGTTAATCATTTAGCCATTTTATTTCTTTAATTGAATTAATTAATCAATCATTGTGGGAATTAAACTGAAGAGAGTCATTTAGAGAGTAAATTTAGAGGGTAGTTTGGTCATTCAGTTTCTAAAGGATATTTTGGTAAAATAACATCACACTAATGTTTTCGTGCTTATAATATAGTATGATGATATGATGCGGCTAGTATGAAATGTTTATTTGATGCATTGTATATTAATACCATTCTCCGTTTGGACTTTGGAGTTTGAAGAAACGGACAAATTTTAAAACCTTATAAGCTTCGACTATTCTTTAAAAATACTTAACCCAAATAGCCAACCACCCAACCGCTTAAACTCAAAATAGCCAGTGAATGTATAATATATGCATAACTTATTTATTGTATGTGTATAATTATGTATATAGCTAGAAAAAGTAAATAGTTAATATGGCCAGCTATTTGCATAAAAATCCCAAGAATTAACTTAAATAGTCGTCCACCCATTGTTTAAACTAAAAATTATCAGCGGATATACAATACATGTATAATTCATATGTAAAATATATACAATTAGTATATAATCTATGTTTGCTGGCGAGAAAAAGTAAACATTAAATTAGGCCAGCTATTTGTGTAACTGTTATTTAAAGAAGAAGAATTAACCCAAATAGTCGTCGACCCAACCGCTTAAACTAGAAATAGCCGGTAGAGGTATAATATATACATAATTTATGTATTATATGTGTATAATTATATATAATTAATGTATAAAAAGTGTATATGGCTAGAAAAGTAAACAATGAATTTGGGCGGCTATTTATGTAAAGATCCCTTAATTCTTCCCTAAAAATGGCTATTCGTGCACTTCGCCCAACTATTTCCTCGCCCAATAATTTTGAGCCCGTTTGTCTACCTAGGGAGAAATTTAAAATAGTCAGATTTACAAGTGGTCATTCAAAAATAGCCAGAGTTTCAAAAGTAATCGAAATTAAGCTACTTTTTATGTAAAGATAAATCTAAGCGAAAATACTGTTCAAAATTCGAAAAATACTCCAGCATAATATACCGGAGTTCCAGCATAAGTATACTGGAACTCTAGTATATTATAATGAAGTTCCAACATATGTATACTAGAACTCCAACATATTATAATGGAGTTCCAACAAAGTATACTGGAACTCTAGCATAATATACTAGAGTTCCAGTATAATATAACAGTCCAATATAATATGCTGGAAATTCATACACTGGTGCTCCAATCTCAGGTATATTATGCTGGAACTTTCCACGTATTGGAGTTCCAGCATAATATGTTGGAAGTCCATACACATGTGCACCGATCTCCAGTATATTATGCTGGGCCGGTCTCTGTTGCAGCAAAATAGTGGCTATTTTTCAATAACTTTGCAAATACTGGCTATTTTTGTATGAACACTCCGAAAACTGGCTAGCCCGTGCTATTTTAACGTCTACCTGCTATGGCCCAGTCCGGAAACCCACTGGAGTTCAGAAGTAAGAAGCCCGTCATCTTCTTCCTTACAAATAAAACCTTCGCGGGGTTTCCAGAAAAGTGCTGGAATTTTTTTTTTCTCCATGTAAAATTTTTCATGTCAGCTACTGCTTCATATTTTTGATCTTTTCTCTTGAATTAAATTATTGCTTTAATTGTTTGCTATGGGTGAGACAATTTTAACATCGGAGGCAGCTTCAAGTTCGTCCCAGTTGAACTCCTCATCCCGTATAATTTGTCGGGTGTAAGTATGACTTATTTTTTGCTTTGATTTCAATATCAGTTTCTTAATGTTGCTTAATTTGATTCAATTTTTCAGTTTTAGCAAGTTGTGACTTTTCTGCTCTACCCGGTATGATATGTCGGGTATTATTGATTTGGTTCTTGACTCGTTGTTGTGCTCGAACTACCCTTTTTGTTTGCCCTTTCTTTTCTTGTGGCTTTTCTAATTTTTCCTTAAGTTAACAACTATTTTGTCACAAATTTCTAACTTTGGCAGCAATTGGGCTGATTGTATAAATTAGTAATATTATGATTTGATTAAGGAAGAAAGAAAACAAAATGAAATCATACATTGGTTATGTATCCTAGTACCAAAGCTACTGACTTAAAACTTCAATTTCAAATTGAGATTTTTACATTATACCACCAGATGCAAGCTGCTTAATTTTGGATACTTAATAGGTACAAAGTTGCACTTTCTGCTCGGTAACCTACTTGACCTTTTTAAAATTCACCCAGGGGAACTTATGTGGACGTATCTTGGATGAACTTTTCGTCAAAGTATATCTTGGATGAACTTAGGTGCCTTAACAGCATATTTGACTAGTTCTCCGCTCGGGGATATTAGAGCGCCTATAAGATCCCTATCTTGGATATGTATTTTGCTTGCACAATTCTGGATGGAGGCAGGTTTAGTTGGGATCGAAGTGACAATCAGATATGTTACTGTCACGACCCAAAATCCATTAAAGGTCGTGATGGCGCCGGACACCACTGTCTGGCAAGCCAACATTAAGAAGTTAATTAAATTCTCAATTTAGTATTTAAAATTATTTATTTTCCTTACATTAACAATATATAATAAACTTCGCTAAGTAAATAATGATGTCTTTAACAAATTGAATACTGAAAAAAATACCATAGTCATCCCAGAACCCGGTGTCACAAGTGCATGAGCAATTTCTAGGAATTTAAAATGTAATACAACAACTATCCGGAATACAATTGGACAGAAAAGAAAATACAGTACAATACTCTGAAAGAGACTCTGCTGGCTGCGGATCGTCTCGAGAGGTGCAGCTCGCTTGAGTCCCAGTATCAACCATGCCACTGCGCCAAACTAGGCCACTAGACTTACATGCGCCTGTGCAACAAAAATGCACAGCAAGTGTAGTATGAGTAAGAAAACAACGTGTACCCAGTGAGTATCCCGTCTAATCTCGAAGAAGTAGAGACGAAAGGTCGACTTCGATACTTACTAGTGGTCCAATAGTAATATATTAATAATGCGAATAATCATGGATTTATTAAAAATGGTAGTAAATTCAAGTAAGTCGTGAAACAAGTAAACATTCTTTTTATATTAAGAAGTCTCCAAATTCATAATCTATTATTTATCAATTTACCTCAGACCAGGGAGGCAATATCAGTTTATAAATCTCAAGCAAGCATTACAAGCATGCGCAAAACATGCCGAGGTCGTACGGCCCGATCCAACAGGTATTTAAACTATGCACTGCCGGAGGGTCGAATGGCGCGAACCATAGATGCATCTATTTAATCTGCCGAGGCGTTCGACTCGTTCCAAAATTAAACACACACAGACAGTCAATCAAGAAGTCATCAGGGAATAATTATCCAAAGAAAAGCCAATTTTCTTTTTAACAATTCAAGAAAATGAAGTTTAATCTTTTTAGAAATTCATTTACTAATTCGATGTGATTTAAGAAATTCAAACTGTCAATAAGATTACAAATACTCCAAGTATAGCATGTTTTTGGGTCCTAGACTACCCGGACTTGAACATAATTGTAGCTACGCACGGACTCTCGTCACCTCGTGCGTACGTAGCCCCCACAAATAGAAGCACAAATCTAATTAATTCACCTATGAAGACAATTCCCTCTTACAAGGTTAGAAAGGAGACTCACCTAGCTTCGAAGATCCATCACCGACATTCCACGTCCTTTCGAAGACTCAAATTGACGCACGACGCTCCAAAACTAGCCAATAATTATGTAAACCCATTAATATATGTTCAATTAATCATTATAATCCAATTTATAACAATCCCTAACCCCGATCGAAAGGTTGACAAAAATGCCCTCGGGCCCACGTGCCCGGATTCCGAAATTTTTCGAAGATAAGGTTTACCCATAACCTCACGAACTCAAATATATAATTTACTCTCAATTTCATGTCCAAAATCGTGGTCAAAATCCAAGAATACTAATTTTCTAGGTTTTCCTTCAAACCCCAAGTTTTCCACAAATTTTCATGCTCAAATCCATATACAATCATGTATTTAACTCAAAACTAACATAAACCACTTACCTCATGCTTGGTGGTGAAAATGGCACCACAAAGTTGCTCCAAAATCGGCTCCACCGGAAGAAATGGGTTGAAATGAACCCAACCCCCGATTTAAAAGAACCTCACTGCCTCCAGTATTTTCGCACCTGCGGTCACTTGACTTGATTGCTTCTGCGGTTCGCAGGTGCTACCCACTAACCGCTTCTGCGGTCTTCCTCCAGGCCCCCAACTTCCGCATCTGCGTCCTTCCTTCCGCAGTTGCGGTCCCGCTTCTGCGGCAAGATGATCGCATCTGCGGTCCCAGCCTAGCCCAGCCATTTCCGCTTCTGCGGCACCTAGGCCGCTCCTGCGGCCAAAACCTCGCAGGTGCGGTTACACCAGATACCAGCTGCTTCAGTCCTTATTCAGATTCCAAATTTGATCCGTTAACCATCCGGAATCCACCCGAGATCCCCGGGACCCCAACCAATCATACCAACCAGTTCCATAACATAATGCGGACCTGCTTGAGGCCTCAAGTCATATCAAATAACGCTAAAATCATGAATCGACCTCCAATCCAAGCTTAATGAACTTTAGAATTTCAAACTTCTACATTTGATGCCGAAAACTATCAAATCCCGTCCGATTGACCCCAAATTTTGCACACAAGTCATATTTGACATTACGGACCTACTCCAACTTCCGGAATCGGAACCCGACCCCGATATCAAAAAGTCCACTTCCGGTCAAACTTCTCAAAACCTTCAAATTTCTATCTTTAGCCAAATGACTCCAAAATGACCTACGGACCTCCGAATTCACTTCCGATCGCGCTCCCAATACCAGAATCACCATACGGAGCTATTACCAGACTTAGCATCCCAAACGGACATCGATAGCATTGAAATGCACTTCAACCCAAATTTATGAAATTCTTCCAAAAATGCTAACTTATACAATAGGCGCCAAAACACTCCCGGGTCACCCAAAACCCGATCCGGGCATATGCCCAAGTCCGGCATCATCATACGAACCTGCTGGAACCTTCAAATCCCGATTCTGAGGTCGTTTCCTCAAAAATCCAATCTAGTCAATTCTTCCAACTTAAAGCTTCCGAAATGGGAACTTTCTTTCCAAATCAATTCCAAACTTCCCGAAATTCAATTCCGACCACGCGTACAAGTCATAATACCTTAAGTGAAGCTGCTCATGGACTCAAACTGCCAAACGGCGCGCTAGAGCTCAAAACGACTGGTCGGGTCGTTACAGTTACTAAACCATCTGAAAATTGAATAAGGTATTAGACAGTTTCAAGTCAAAATCCTCATTGTGGGGTTATTCAAGTCTCACTAGAATTTTTTAAACAAAATCTGATATTTTCCTCTGATTGTATTGACGTCGAATATGTTTTTTTTCCTTCATTGTGGGATATATGAAGGTTGAAAAGATAATTTTAGGTTAAAGGGGCATCATTTTATGATTGAGAATCAATTCCTGGAATTGAACTCACTTAACAAGGAAGTTTTACCTACATATTTCTTCTAATATATAATTCCTGCTTATTCTACATTCTGCCAATGCTAGGCATACAAGTAGTGTTTCACTAAGCCCAATTTGGTGACTTCGTCATCATCTATGTTTTGAACCTGCCTATTTTTGACAATCTACTATTCTAGGCACATGAGAAGTATTGGTTTCTGAGGTAATCTTGGTAAGACCAAAAGAAAAGTTGTAGTTAGATGGTTGAAACTTGTAGTGTTATGTGTACGCATGTGGTTGCATTGATTCCTATTCTATGTTTCCTGTCACTTATTCATTATAATAGGGAAATTGAAAATCCGATAGTTTCATGGTTATCAAGTTACGTGTATTGTGAGTGGACTTTGGCTAAACTAATAGCAATGTCTACTTTTTGTGCAGTTGTCAAAAGCAATTTTCGCAGTATACCTGCCCTCGATGTAATACCCGTTATTGCTCTCTTCCTTGTTACAAGGTGAGTGAGAGAAGTTCATTCCTTGTAGTGAAGAAGCTTGAAAAAGAAGAAGATGATATTCTGCTGTTACTATTTTCTTTCTAGTTTGCCCATGCTGAGAGTTGTTATTATTAGCATGTGATTCTATAAGTCCAATATATTGTGGAGACCCTTTTGATCCATCATTCCTGATTTTTCTTAATGGTATTTTTGGCAGTCTCATAGTCTTCGTTGCACTGAATCCTTTATGAGAGAGAATGTCATGGGGGAGCTACAACAATTACAATCAGATGAGGGAAGTAAGCAAAAAATGCTGGACATACTAAAACGATTCCACTCAGAAGATGAAGCAAACACCATGGATGAAGATGGTAAGCATTGCTTTGTTGTCTGCGGTAATGAATTTATTCCTGCTTGATTTCATTAATTATTAGGCATTTGTATTGCTAATTTAGTTGTTGAGAGGAGTAGTATTGAATAATGTTTTTGTTTTTAACAATCTAAAAAAAGGGCAGCCCTGTGCACTAAGCCCTGCTTACTTACAGTAAAAGAAGAAATTATATTGATATAACTCCTGTTCTATTTTACAACAAAGGGAAAAGTTTGATTTGCTCAAGAAGTTTTGTTTTGATGATTCTTGTTGTAATCCATGTATTGTGTTGCTTTGGGATGTGGATGTTCTAAAGAATCTTGTACAATACTCACTCTAGGTTTTATTTCTATTCTTTTTATGTATTATTATATTCATTTTCTTGATAAGGATACTCAGTCCAGGTTATCATACTTTCAACAAAGTTGGTGAAATTGATGAACTGACATAACATGCTACTGTTGAAGACAAAATGAATTAACGTTTTCTTATTTGCTATGGAATTCATAACTTTTTCGCTTATTGGTTTTGTTGCATCAGATTCCCCGTTGTCTGAGGAGACTATTCAGAAAGTTCTATCTGGTATGTTCCTGAAATATCATATTCTGATGTTGTTTCTTTTCTCTTTTACATTTTGGGCTCGGTTGGGGGGGGGGGGGGGGGGGTGGAGCAGCTGGCTTATTTGTCCTTCAACCTAATATTTTTCTCTGATCGGGGATGGGTTGGTGGCTGCTTCCTTTTATTTGCAGGAGAGGAGATAAATTTTGATGATTTATCTGCTGAAGAAAGGAAACATTTTCAAAGAGCCGTGGCCTCCGGAGAGTTAAGCAAATTGATTAAACCCTGGGAGCCTTGGTGGTTGAAGCCTTCTGCCAAGAATATATCTCTTGGTCGAGACGGAACTCAACTTGTCCAACCACTTGTGAGGGAGGATGCAGCTCTGTCTTCAGAAGATGACATAGAAGGTGGTACTTTACACGACATTCCACTTGGTCCCGACTCTCCATTGCCCTCAGTTAGTAAGCTCAGTGCAGCCGAACCATCCCCTTTATTGGCTATTCACCTTGTTGACATCATGTACAGTTATTGCTTTACTCTTCGCCTCTACAATGGTGACTGGCAATCAGATCCCATAGGATCAGCCACGGTCTTGTTGAGTGTCTCTTCTATTCTTGGTCAAGGAGGGGGGCCAGAGAGTGCGCTTGAAGCTCTATCGCATTGCCTGGAGCAAACGTGTTCACCGGCTTTCAGACACATGGGTGGCTTACAATTTGCGTTGGGGCTAATCAATGACACAATAACCCTTCTGCATCTCGAGGGTCCAGCCTTAGTTTGCTTACTTTGCGATCTAAGGAGGCTAATTCAACATGCAGAGAAGGATTTGAAGTCAGAGAAGCCTCGCAAGTCCAGATGTTCTGAAATCAAAACAAAGCTCAAGTCCGCTGAAAGGAAGGTTTATTTTATAATGTGCTGGGCTCACGAGCAGCCACAAGAAGCATGGTCTTCCTTAGCAGCCATTGTCGAGGCAGAGAAGAGCCGACTAGTGGAAGTCATAGGAAGTAAGACAAACCTTCCAAAAATGGAGAAAGTACAAAATGAGGGCAAGCCTCTGATTAAGGAAATCGAATAACCGACTATTCTTTCATGTATTTCGAGAGTTCCTGTCACCCTCTGTCACCTGGATTTTTATGTCCTATTTTCTCTTTGGACTTTTATCGGAGTATTTGAAGCAAATTTGTTTTTAGAAAAGAAACAAGGAAAGGAAAAGAAAAAGTTGAATGGAAATTGCAAAGATCTCCAAAAGGGCAGCCCGGTGCACTAAGCTCCCGGTGAAGGGTCAGACCACAAGGGTCTATCATATGCAGCTTTACCTTGCATTTCTGTAAGAGGCTGTTTTTACGGCTCGAACGTAACCTCCTGGTCACATGGCAGCAACTTTACCAGTTACGTCAAGGCTCTCGTCAAATTGCAAAGATGTTTATTACTTATAATTTTTCTAGATACGTAGTTAAGAGAGACGACGTGATGATACTTAAATTAATGCTTTTAAGTCTTGATTCTACTTTTGAATTCTGTCCCTTTTGGTCATCGGATGTCTCATGAAGACGTGTTCCTAATGTAGTAAAGTATTTTACGCACAGACGCTGTTAGCGTAATTAAATTTTCTGGTAGTATTCTCTTCATTTTATTGTTGTAACCGTGTGTTACTTAATTCAGTATTGAAGCTTAGCTCATATCATCCTCATACCAAACAAATATTATCAGAAGTGAAAAAATATTGATATTAACTCTTTTAATTAAAGATGACTAAACTAAGCTTGATAAAATAGTACTCTTTTTGTTTCAATTTATGGGAATCTTTTCAAAGAAAGAAACTCAAATTGACTAATTTTACGTGTGAATTGGAATATAAATTTTTAATATTTTTGAAATAAAATTTACAAATTTAAAAAGTATTATAAGTCACAAGAGATAGAACTATATCTTTGGTTTGGAATAGTGATAGAGTGCTAATGGTTAGATAGCTGGTTGCATGTGTGGGCCCCTAAATAAAATAAACAAAAAGAAAATAAGAAAGAAAAAAAATGTGATTGGTTGAAACCATGGCAATAGTAGGCGGATGTAAGGTTGGGCCGTGGAACCAATTTCGGGGGAAGTGCACGGTTGACCACTAATAACACATGTATTTACTTTTAAGCCACCGTTTAAAATATCTTTAGTCTTTAGCCACTGCTTTAATAAAATTTAACTGTCCGGACGAAATTACCCTTCTGCTCATGTCCTTAACTTCAGGACTTCAGGACTACATGTCCTTAACTTTTGAACTTGGAACTCTAAGTTCAGGACTTCAGGACTACATGTCCTTAACTTTTGAACTTTTAACTCTAAGTTCAGGACTTCAGGACTACATGTCCTTAACTTTTGAACTTGGAACTCTAAGTTCAGGACTTCAAGGCTACATGTCCTTAACTTTTGAACTTGGAACTCAAACTTCAAGACCAAGCGTCTTTAACTTTTGAACTTGTAAGTCAAAGTTAAGGACCTATTGTCCTTAACTTTTGAACGTGTAACTGTAAGTTAATGACTGTCTGTCCTTAACTTTTGAACTTGGAAATCAAAGTTAAGGACCCATTGTCCTTAACTTTTGAACTTGTAACTGTAAGTTAAGGACTGCCTGTCCTTAACTTTTGAACTTGTAACTATAAGCTAAAGACTGCCTGTCCTTAACTTTAGAACTTGTAACTGTAAGTTAAGAACTGACTGTCCTTAACTTTTGAACTTGTGTCCTTAACTATTGAACTTAACTTTAGGACTTCAAGACTATATTTCCTTGGTACCAAGTACTTGTATTTCATCTGAAGTGACTGAAGGAGTTTTCTGTTCAACATTTTGCGAGACTATTTCTATCTTTGGATCAATATCATAAGGAACTTCTTCGTCACTATCATCATTTGACTCAGAATCCGCAATCTTTGTATTAGCAACTGTTTTCAAAACCAAAAGCATCGTTGTCAATCATAACAGTAGTGAACAAGCGCAAATTAAAACCTAAAGAAAATATTATATTGATACACACAAAACAATGGTCTTAAATTACCTGGGCTCTTTGTTTTTGTTTCTTGAGTTGAGCATTGCTTAGATAGTGTCACCTTAGTAGCTGGATTTCCGTTTGGGGAGGAAAGGGTAACACAGTCTTTTCATATTAATTTTAATAGACTAGTGGCTACTATTGCTAAGCATTAAAAATGCTGGATAAAAAGTAAATACCAGCTTAAACAGTGGCTACCCCACGCCATTTCTACCCAATTTCATAACCAATTTGTAATCTTGCAAATTGGCAAGTAGGAAACAGAACAAATTTTGATTGGTTGGAGAGTGCGGCAACTTTCCTATAAATTGAAGTGTTTCGTTCAGTTTCAAGTACACCAAATCGAGAGAAGCAACAGAGAGTTAGAGAGAGTAATCCACAGATTGTAGTCTGTGAGATAAATAGTGAGTGGGAGTAATATTGTAGTGATGTGTTTAAAATAAAGAGTGTTATTTCTTTCGAAGTTGTAGTAGTCTCTTGACACTACTAAGTTGTAATATTATAGTGGTAATATTGCTCCGCTGGGGTATTGTATTTTATACCGTTAAAATATTTGGTGTCGTTGTTACTCTATTGTGTTGTTGTTATTTATCGTGGATATTATTCTCGGGCGGGTTTATTATTTTTATTCCTAACAACGTGGTATCAGAGCCATGGCGAATAATAGCCCGCTGTCTTTTCAGTATCCCCGTCTCACAAAATATAATTATGAGAAATGGTGTCTACGCATGAAAGCCATTCTTGGCTCCCAGGATGTGTGGGAAATCGTAGATAGAGGGTATGAAAAACCCGATAATGTAGAAGCTCTGCCTCAAAATGAAAAAGATGTCTTGGAAAAGACAAGGAAGAAGGATCAACAAGCCCTCACGCTCATCCACCAATGTTTGGATGATGCCATGTTTGAGAAGGTGGCAGATGCTACCACCTCAAAGGAAGCTTGGGAGATTTTACAAAATTCTCTTCAAGGAGTTGACAAGGTGAGGAAAGTAAAACTTCAAACTCTAAGGGATGATTTTGAAGTTTTAAAAATGAAAGAATCCGAATGCATTTCTGATTATTGTTCAAAAATGAAGGCTGTTGTAAATCAATTGATACGATACGGGGAGGACATAGAAGATGTCCGTGCGGTAGAAAAGATCCTTCGCACTTTAACACCTAATTTAATTTTGTGGTGTGTGCTATTGAGGAGTCTAAAGATTTAGACTCTATGATGGTGGAGCAATTGGAGGGTTCTTTACAGGCTCATGAAGAAAAGATCAAAAGGAGACAAGAAGTGCCATTGGAGCAACTTCTTAAAACGCAGGCATCCTTCAAGGATTATGGAGGTTAAAAGAGCTACCGAGGAAATGGACGAGGACGAGGCCGTGGCGGTCATGGAAGAGGAAGAAGTAATGGTAACAACTTCAACAATGAAGTTAAAATCCACCAAACATTCAGAGGTTGTGCTCGTGGACAAAGAGGAGGAAGAGGACGTGGCTACTACCAAGAAAATAATGGACAAAGGTATGACAAATCAAAAATTGAGTGTTATAATTGTCATAAATTTGGCCATTACTCTTGGGAATGTCGTAGCAATGTTGAAGAAAAAGCTAACCTTGTTGACGACAAGAAAGAAGAAGATGAGTCAACGTTGTTGTTGGCACTCAAGGAAGAAGACATGGATGATTGTAGCTCGTGGTATTTGGACAATGGAGCAAGCAATCATATGTGTGGATGCAAAGAAAAGTTTGTGGAGATAAATAAAACGGAGAGAGGTAATGTGTCCTTTGTAGATACCTCAAAGATTTAAATCGAAGGGATATGTACGATTCTGATCTCCTGTAAAGATGGTAGTCACAAGCTAATTCAAGATGTTTATTATGTGCCAAAATTAAAAAGTAATATTTTGAGTTTGGGCCAACTTCTTGAAAAGGAATATGACATCCAAATGAAAAATATGCATCTTTGGCTTAGAGATTCAGTGGAATTCTAATTGCTAAAGTGCATATGGCAAAGAATAGATTATTTTCTCTGAATCTTAAAACAATTGATGCAAAGTGTTTGAAGGCTAATGTGCAAGATGAATCATGGTGTTGGCACATGCAATTTGGGCACTTGAATTTTGGAGCACTCAAAGCAATGGGAGAAAAGAACATGGTGCATGGGATGCCATCAATCAGTCATCCCAATCAATTGTGTGAAGCTTGTCTTCTTGGAAAACATGCAAGGAGGAGTTTTCCAAAGGAGGCCATGTCAAGATCAACCAAGCCGCTCCAGCTTGTTCACACTGATGTGTGTGGACCAATCAATCCACCTTCTTTTGGTAAAAGTAGATACTTTCTGCTTTTCATTGATGACTTTAGTAGAAAGACTTGGGTTTATTTCATGAACCAAAAATTTGAAGCTTTTTCTGCTTTTAAAAATTTCAAAGTACTTGTGGAGAAAGAAAGTGGCTATGAAATTAAAGCTCTAAGGTCCGATAGAGGAGGCAAATTCACTTCAAATGAATTTAATGACTTTTGTCAGTCTCATGGAATTCGTAACCCTTTAACAGTACCTTATTCACCCCAACAAAATGGAGTTGTAGAGAGAAAGAATCGAACAATTCTTAATATGGCTAGATGTATGTTGAAAGCTAAAAGTATGCCCAAGGAATTTTGGGCCGAAGCTGTTTCTTGTGCAGTTTATTTGAACAACAGGTCTCCAACAAGGAATGTTAGAGATCAAACCCCTCAAGAAGCATGGAGTAGAAGAAAGCCAAATGTCAAGCACTTGAGAATCTTTGGGAGCATAGCCTATGCTCATGTGCCACATCAAGGGAGAGCAAAGCTTGACGATTGAAGTGTCAAGCATGTGTTTGTTGGCTATGATACGAGTTCAAAAAGCTACAAGTTATACAACCCAAGCAGCGGTAAGGTGGCCGTAAGTCGCGATGTTGAATTTGATGAAGAATTGGCATGGGATTGGGAAGCTCAGGAAGAAACTTCATATGATTTTCTTCCATACTTTGGTGATGAAGAAGAACCAGAGACCGTGGAACCTGTGCAGGATACAACTCCACCTCCTTCTCCAACCAATTTTGCATCTCCCTCTTCCCAAGAAAGTTCAAATGAACTGCCCCAAAGGACAAGGAGCATTCAGGAGCTCTAAGAGAACATAGAAGAAGTTACTAATTTTGATTTTTGATGTTGTCTGTTTGCTGACAGTGAAACAATGAACTTTGATAAAGCTGTTACAAACAAAAAGTGGGGACAAGCCATGGAGGAGGAGATTGAGTCAATAGAGAAGAACAACACTTGGGAATAAACAACTCTTCCCAAGGGTCATCGAGCAATTGGAGTGAAATGAGTATACAAAATAAAGAAGAATGCTGATGGAGATGTGGAGAAATACAAGGCACGACTTGTGGCTAAAGGCTACAAGCAAAGGCAAGGCATTGACTATGAAGAAGTCTATGCACCTGTTGCCAGCATGGAGACGATTTGTTTGCTGATCTCTTTGGCGGCGCAAATGAAGTGGAAGATCCATCAACTAGATGTCAAGTCAGCCTTCTTGAATGGTGATCACGCCCAACTATGCCTTATAAAAGACAAAGCGGTCGTTGTAAATATAATC